AAAACCACATTGCTCCTCCTCAATCTGAGATTCAACTATCGATCGGACCCTCCTCTCCAGTACCTTGGAGTAGACCCTTCCAGGGAGGCTGAGGAGTGTAATCCCCCTATAGTTGGAACACACCCTCAGGTCACCCTTCTTAAAGATGGGGACCACCACCCCGGTCTGCCACTCCACAGGAACTGCCCCCGATGACCACGTAATGTTGCAGATGTTGCAGAGACGTGTCAACCATGACAGCCCTACAACATCCATAGCCTTGAGATACCCAGGACGAACCTCATCCGCCCCCCGGGGCTCCGCCGCTGTGTAGTTGTTTGACTACCTCAGCAACTTCTGCCCCAGAGACTGGACAGTCCATCCCCAGGTCTCCCGGCTCTGGTCAAATGCCTTCTCCAAATCCACAAAACACACATAGACTGGTGGGGCAAATTCCCACGCACCCTCCAGGATCCCCCTAAGGGTATAGAGCTGGTCCAGTGTTCCACGGCCAGGATGAAAACCACATTGCTCCTCCTGAATTTGAGGTTCAATAATCCAACAGACCCTCCTCTCCAGAACCCCTGAATAGACCTTACCAGGAAGGCTCAGAAGTGTGATCCCCCTGTAGTTGGAACACACCCTGTGGTCCCCCTTTTTAAATAAGGGGACCACCACCCCGGTCTGCCAGTCCAGTGGGATGCCCCAAATGTCCACGCGATATTGCAGAGCCTCATCAGCCAACACAGCCCCACAACATCCAGAGCCTTAAGGAACACCGGGCAGATCTCATCCACCCCCGAAGCCTTGCCACAGAGGAGCTTTTTAACCACCTCAGTGACCTCAGCACCAGAGATTTGAGAGGCCAACCCAAAGTCCCCAGACTCTGCTTCCTCACTGGAAGACATGTCGGTGGGAATGAGGAGGTCTTCGAAGTATTCTGCCCACCGATCCACAGCATCCTGAGTAGAGGTCAGCAGCACACTGTCCCCACTATAGATAGTGTTGGTAGCGCACTGCTTTCACCCCCGAGGCGCCGGATGGTGGACCAGAATCTCCTCGAAGCCGTATGGAAGTCTTGCTCCATGGTCTCACCGAACTCCTCCCATGCCCGGGTTTTTGCCTCGGTGACCACCCGAGCTGCGTTCCGCTTGGACTGCAGGTACCTGTCAGCTGCTTCTGGAGTCCCACAGGCCAAAAAGTCCTGGTAGGACTCTTGCTTCAGCTTGACAGCATCCCTAACCGCCGGTGTCCACCAGTGGGTTCGGGGGTTGCCACCACAACAGGCACCGACAATCCTGCGACCACAGCTCCGGTCGGCCGCCTCAACAATGGAGGCACGGAAGAGGGTCCATTCAGACTCAATGTCCCCCGCCTCCCCCGGAACATTTTGGAAGTTCTGTCAGAGGTGGGAATTGAAGCTCCTTCTGACAGGAGACTCTGCTAGACGTTCCCAGCAGAGTCTTGCGATACGTTTGGGCCTGCCTGGTCTGACCGGCATCCTCCCCCACTATCTGAGCCAACTCACCACCAGGTAGTGGTCAGTTTACAGCTCTGCCCCTTTCTTCACCCAAGTGTTCAAGACATGCGGCCACAAGTCAGATGAAATAACAACAAAGTCGATCATCGACCTGCGACCTAAGGTATCCTGGTGCCAAGAGCACATATGGACACCATTATGTCTGAACATGCTGTTCATTATGGACAATCCATGACTGGCACAGAAGTCCAATAACAAAACACCTCTCGAATTCAGATCAGGGGGGCCGTTCCTCCCAACCACACCTCTCCAGGTTTCCCTGTCGTTGCCCATGTGAGCGTTAAAGTCCCCCAGCAGAACGAAGGAGTCACCGGAAGGAGTGCTTTCCAGCACCCCCTCCAAGGTCTCCAAAAAGGGTGGGTAGTCTGAACTGTAGTTTGGTGCATAAGCACAGACCACAGTCAGAACCCATCCCCCCACACGTAGGTGGAGAGAGGCTACCCTCTCATACACTGGGGTAAACCCTAATGTACAGGCACCAAGATGGGGGACAACTAGTGTGCCCACCCCTGCTCAGCGCCTCTCAGTGGGAGCAAAACCAGAGTGATAGAAAGTCCAACCCCTCTCAAGGAAACTGGTTCCAGAGCCAGAGCCATGCGTTGAGGTGAGTCCGATTACATCTAGTCGGAACCTCTCAAACTCACACACCAACTCAGGCTCCTTCCCCACCAGAGAGGTGACATTTCATATGCCAAGAGCCAGCTTCTGTAGCCGAGGATCAGACCACCAAAGGTCCCCGCCCTCGACTACCACCCATCACACACTGCACCCGACCCTTTGGCCCCTCCCACGAGTGGTGAGCCCATGGGAAGGGGGACCCACGTTTCCTCTTCAGGCTGTCCCCGGCCAGGCTCCATGGGTGAAAGCGCGGCCACCAGGCGCTCGCCCACGTGCCCCACCTCCAGGCCTGGCTCCAGAGGAGAGGCCCCGGTGACCCACGTCCGGGCGAGGGAACACGGTTTCCATTTATATAATTCATCATAAGAGGTCTTCAGGCTGCTCTTTTTCTGATCCCTCACCAAGGACCTGTTTGCCATGGGTGACCCTACCAGAAGCAGAAAGCCTCAGGCAACTTAGCTCCTAGGATCATTGAAACACTCAAACCCCTCCACCACGGTACGGTGGCAGCCCAGGGAGAGGCTGAAACCAATTAGAAAGAAACTAGCTTGAAGTGTTAAAAACTCTTTAGTGTCACTTTAAATGCAGATACAAAATCCAGCAATACTTCTAAACACGTGCAGCACGATCTTCCTCATGATGCATTGACTATTTTACTGAACACCAGCAAACCTGTACATTGTGTGGCTTTTAAAGCTCTACAACATGCAGAAAGTTGAGAAACGCACATTCACATGGCATCTTAATTGCAAAAATAAGGAAAATAATTCTTTATTTAGAATCAGCTCCTCTAAATCTGAGACCATGGTCTTAATTCGGAAAAGGGTAGAATGCCTGTTCCGGGTCAGGGATAAGGTCCTGCCCCAAGTGGAGGAGTTTAAGTATCTCGGGTCTTGTTCACGAGTGAGTGAAAACTGGAGCGTGAGATCGATAGGCAGATTGGTGCTGCATCTGCAGTGATGCGGGCGTTGTACTGGCCTGTTGTGGTGAAGAGAGAGCTGAGTCAGAAGGCGAAGCTCTTGATTTACCGGTCGATCTACGTTCCTACCCTAACCTATGGTTATGAGCTTTGGGTAGTGACTGAAAGAGCGAGATCGCGGATACAAGCGGCCGAAATGAGTTTTCTCCAAAGAGTGGCTGGGCTCTCCCTTAGAGATGGGGTGAGAAGCTCGGTCATTCGGGAAGAGCTCGGAGTAGACCCGCTGCTCCTCCACATCGAGAGGAGCCAGTTGAGGTGGCTCTGGCATCTGGTCAGGATGCCTCCTGGACGCCTCCCTGGTGAGGTTTTCCAAGCACGTCCAACCGGGAGGAGACCTAAAGGTAGACCCAGGACACGGTGGAGGGACTATGTCTCTCACCTGGCCAGGGAATGCCTTGGGATTCCCCCGGAGGAGCTGGCCCAAGTGGCTGGGGAGAGGGAAGTCTGGGCCTCTCGCCTTAGGCTACTGCCCCCGCGACCCGACTCCGGATAAGCGGATGAAAATGGATGGATGGATGGATGGATTAATTATTTATATAATGTGTGATTTATTCTCATCCTTTTGGGAGTTACCAAAGTTAATCGGTGCTTTTCATAAGGAGTTATCTACACATGTTACTTTGTTTTTTCTGCTCTTTTGCACAGGAATGTTCAGAATGCACAATAGCCAGGGCATAGCATCTAGTCTACTGCACTAATGATCCCAGGGAATTTCTTTATGTGGAGCTGAGGGACGCGGTTACTTCAAATATCCTTTAATCTTTAGGCACCAGTCAAGAAATGGTTTTCTTATGTTCTGAAATTAGTGGGGGGTTTAAATGCTGGTTTATGCTCCATTGCATCTCTTATCTGCTCTGAGGTCTGTGTGTGTGTGTGTGTGTGTGTGTGTGTGTGTGTGTGTGTGTGTGTGTGTGTGTGTGTGTGTGTGTGTGTGTGTGTGTGTGTGTGTGTGTGTGTGTGTGTGGTCACATGCTCCTTAGCCACTCTTTTCTGTATTGTTTTATTGCTCTTTTGATCAGAAGGGGAAAGGACAAATTTTGAGCACAACTCAGAATGATTCGATACGAAAACTCAATGCAGATTAAAGAGCAAGTTGCCTCAAATCAATTATTGTTTTGCTGAAAAGTGTATAAATGAGCATCTAAAAGTGTGTTTGTTAGCAACTGTTTTCTTCAAACAGATGTGCTGTCATTGTCACAGCCAAAGTGCCGCCCCCTCGGTCTTCCAGGCAACGCTGCCTTTTAGCATATTTTTCTAACAGACAGTGTGAGTGGAGAAAGACTCTGGCAGAGGGGGTGACTTGCTCTTTAAAAGAGACAAATGTTGTAAAAATCACCGTCTGCATACTTTTGTGTTGTCATGTGGGTCTCTAATGCCTCTATGAACACTACAAATGTGAAAAAAAAACTGTTAATCAAAATTTCTGTCAGTGTTTGGTTTTTGGATATGTGTGCCTAAAAAAACGCTGTTTCAAACGATCCCCAGTTAAGATGTCACAAATGGGGAAATTAGCATAGAACCACCTTTCATGAGCAAGAGGGAACTGCTGCTAAAGGAGCAGTGGCTCTACTCCGAGCCCCTCCCGGATATTGGAGCTTCGCAGCTAATAGCAGCCCGAGCGGGGTATGGGTTGGTGTGGCCAGCAACAGCATGGTTTCTTGAAGTGACAAAGCCCTGAAATGACTCATTCTTGAAGGTACAGAAACTGCCAAGGATGAAATATCTGAAATCGCTTCATGAGAAAGGGATTTAGTGCAAAGAACTTCATAAACATTTTTTATTGACCATAGAACTACTATAACTTGAGAAAAATGTCCAACTATGTCCCTTCTAATAAATGATTCTGATGGTTCTATTTGTCTCGATCTCCTCCACACCTGACAGGTGGATAACGCCAAAATTCTCCACTATGTCGGAGCGGGCGTCACCTTCCCCACCGGCATTCTGTTTGTGTGCCTCCAGTCGGCGCTGACCTACCGACTGGCCAAGACCCAAGGGGAGTATTACTTGGCTCACCTCCGGCTCTGCGTGACCCTCCTGGCCTTCGTAGCCTTGGTGCTCAGTATCCTCTTCAGTGTGCTTTATCCACATTCAGAGATGCAGACAAATGTCTTTAGAAGCCTATTAATCATGAATAGATATCAACAGGTACCTGGGAAGTTTAAGCTCCCATGCTGTTTTCTTGTTTCTTTCCATAACCGTGTTTTCAGGTGGCGTGTTCTTCTGTCAGGAGAGCTTTGCCCTGCAGCACGCCTCGGCTATCTTCGAATGGGTGTTCTGTGTCATCATCATGCTCTTTTACGGGACGTTTGCATTTGAGTTTGCTAGCCTTTCAGGAGACACCATGGTGATTCTGGCCAAGGGAGGCCCCCAAGGATCTTCTGCGAGAGAACATAAAATGGAAGCACTGGGTGGACTTGGAGGACCAGTTCCACACTCACAACCACATCTGCACCAACCCGAAACTATGTCTATACTGTAGGGACCTCCTTAGTTCATATGTTCAAACTCTGGATTGTGGATGAAATTTATTTTTCATTTCCATCCATCTGATGCGTTGAAATGAATCCAGGCCAGTGCAGCAGTTGTTCGCTGCAGAGCAGGTAGGCATCTGCTGCTACAGCGGAGAGCTCATCTTGTGTTTCGTTCACACCAGGATTTGTCTCCAAAGGAAAGGAAAAATAAATAAACTTGCTTGCATTTTGCACAATGATCAAATGTGACACCAAAATTTTCCAACCTCATTCCTGCCATTGGTGACCAGCAACAAAAGAATATTTGGACAATCAAATGGAATATTTGTCTTGGATTGCGTCTCTGGACCACTTCCTCTCACATGACTGCCATGATGCTTTTTTTTATGCACACACAAAAAAAAAAAATACTGTGGCTGCTGGACAGCCCAACTGGCGGTATTACAGAGTGTTAAACTTTTAAATAAGCAAAAAATAATAATAATAACGTAAGAGCTGACAAATGCTTCCTGGAAACAAAAAGCCAACAAGCTACATTTTGCAACCATTCACAACTCAGCAAAGCAATACAACACCCTGTTGTTTAACATCCTACTCTTCATAGATCTTTTGGACCCTTATTTCGTCCACCTCACCTTCAAGCCAAAGAAAAGCAGATGACAGAGCTAGAAATCTAGAACATGTTTCTCAGGAGTCAGCTGACCAAGGCTAAATGGAAAACTAAGCTCATAGCATGGCCAACTGGTGCTTTAATGAGTGTTTAATGAAAGCGTGCAGCTTCAGATTATGCACCACATTTGTTTGCAGCTTCACATCTGCAGGCCCAACAATGTTTTCCAAAGTTTTCCTGGGGAATTCATGCCCAGATTTTATTTTTTGTGTCATATCTTCTTGTAATGGTATACAACAGATAAACCAGCTGCCTTGAGTGTTGAAATGTTTTGGGAAAAAAAGTCGTTCCTGCTAAATTGTAATCTACACCCATGTTAAATCTTTAAAGATGCTGGATTGAACTTCCTGTCCAGAGCTGAGAAGAGGGCATCCAGAGGCCAAGTGCATATGAGCTAATTCAAGCCGGATCTCTGGCTTTATTCAATTTAGTGATGAGAAACGACACGTGTTTCCAGGTCCTAACGACGAAGGGATGCACCTTGTTTTTCCCCTTTAAGGGTGAGCAGAATGTGCCTTTTGTTTTACCTGCCTACTTTGCTTTTGAAGCTCTGAACACTATAAAATGTTGTTTTTCTGTATTTATGTGGAAAAGAAAGACTAAGATACGGAAGGTGTCACTTTGAAGGACATGACTGAATAACAAACAGGCCTCAGACTATCTTTTTGCTCCTTTTAGGTGCGTTTAAAGCAATAAGATGCTGGATGGGAGCAGTGACAGAAGGTCACTGTGGTGCAGGGAATGCAAATCAAGACCAATGCAGTTAGATAACAAAAAGAAAACGTTACTGTTCAGATTTTATAAAAGTGTTTCACTCCTGAGTTGTTGGATGAAAACAGGAGCAAGGCAGAATGTTTACAACTGTAACTTTTTCGCTGTCAGCCCTCCCTCCAAACCACAATAAGCAACATGTTGGATGGAGATTTGCTTAGTGCCAGTATTTTGTATCCAAGCACTGTATTTTTGAAACCAAGTTTTCATGCTGTTAGCGACATGCTGACAGCTGATGCGTCACTCCCAGGCTGAGCAAACCTTCAACAAGACCGAGCTAGAGCAGCTCTACCATAGAGCTGCATCGATCAGGTGCTTCTCTCTGCTGGTCAAACAGCATCACTGCAACAGTTTGTGCACAATGCTGCACTCACAGTCACACTTGTTCATTTTTAACAAGCTGTCAAACTCCATCTATCTCCTTTTGTTCTTTAAATCTCCCTTTCATGCACTACTTTAACAATATTTCTTTATAAAAAGGTCACTTTCGTGTATTTTAATGCTAAGCCATCTAATGGTGCCGCTTTGACATGAAATCGTTTCTGGTCATTTCACACTTTGTTTACTGAAAGCACTTCCCTGTGATCTGTTCTCCTCGCTGTCTGGATCCTCGTGGATCTTTGCACTCAGGAAAGTGTTCCAACACCCGCTGCATTATTTGATTCAAAGCAGATTAAATCTGTTTGTTATAAAAACAGGAAAAATGCTGGAAGTGCTGCAGGGGTGTAAAAAATTATCTGGTGCTCTTCAGCCAAGGGATACATATGAATGTTAAGCAAAAAGAGGTCTGAGGCACTCAGCAGATAGAAGGTTAAAAAGCCTTTAATGATGCATGGCTTAAATGGTTAAAAACTTTCTGCCGACGCGTTTCAGCCCACAGGGCCTTCGTCAGGACTCAAATGTTTGTAGGTCCTCTCACTAACTTGAAAAGAAGGCCTATCAGTGACACCTGCTGAAGTTGGGCAGGTAGACAGCATCATGATTGGCTGACCAGTGTCGCACAAAAAAACTTTTACATTCTGAAAAATCTTAAAATAACGAGAAAAACTCACAAATGTTAAATCAACTCTGAGAATTAAGAAAAAGGAAAAGTAAGTAAATACAAACTTAAAGACAAATGGTACAAATATAGTAAGAAAACATGGAATTACAAATAATAGAATTACCAAAAAGGAGCAAAATCCAATTCTCCATTAAGGAGATTAGAGGATTTCCAGATCTGATTGCTTGTTTGTGTTCTGCAAGTCTTACTTTTAACTTATGTTTAGTTCTCCCAATATAGAAGCAACCACATGGGCATTCTAGTCTGTAGACCACAAATGAAGTATTGCAATTGATGAATGAATCAGTGTAAAAGGTGTGTCCTGAGAAAATATCAGCAAACAATTAGTATTAGTCATGTTGTCACAATGAACAGTTTCCACATTTATGGTTACCTTTTCGAGTTGAGAGCCAAGTTTTTTGTTGCTGTAGAGGAAGGTGACGTTGAACAAGCTTCATTTAACGTTGGAGTTCGTCTGAAGCTGATAGACGGAGTATCTGGGAGAGCTTCCCTGAGAGTACTGTTGCTTTTTAGTAAATCCCAGTTTTTTGTAATTATTTGTTTATTCTTGTTGGTTTGTAATTATTTAATTTGTGGTCTACTTTTCCTTTTTCTCAATTCTCAGAGGTAATTTAACATTTGTGAGTATTTCTCCTTATAATAGGATTTTTCAGAATGTAAAAGAGTTTTTTTTTGTGCGATACTGGTCATTCAATTCAATTCAAAGATACTTTATTAATCCCAGACGGAATCATGATGCTGTCTACCTGCCCAACTTCAGCAGGTGTCGCTGATTGATCTTCTTTATAAGGAAGTGAGAGGACCTACAAACATTTTGAGCCCTGACGAAGGCCCTGTGGGCTGAAACGCGTCGGCAGAAAGTTTTAACCATTTAAGCCATGCATCATTAAAGGCTTTTTAAATTTCTATCTCCCGAGTGCCTCAGACCTCTTTTTGCTTAACATAAATCTGTTTGTTTTTACCTTCTGATGAGTTTGTTTTAATGTAATAAAAATTCTACGGCTTATTTTTTTAGTAGTAGGGCTGATGGTAGATATGATGCCATAGATTAAGGAACATAATCAAGACTTGCTGCATAAAAAAAGAAGACATGCCTGTAACTTAGCTTAGAAATCCTCACGCTGCTCATGTAAACGTTGAATATTTCTAAGAAATGTCGCTTCCTCATGCAATAAATAGATTATTAGTGAGACAGAAGATGACCAGCACCTGTAAACCAATTCAATGGGGTACCTTCATTGTTTTGTTCGTTACATTACAAAATGCTCCCTGTGCCTTATGTATTACATTAATAACCAAAGGTGTAGGCTGTTAATTCTATTTTGATGCAAACTCATGACTGTATGCGTCACTGTATATGTGCAAAAATAAAATGTTTAAACATCA